AGTGTAGATTTAGTGCAAGGGTAACAAAAAAGTGATATAGTGTATAATACTTTATATTTCATTGGATAGCTTGTAAATTGTATATATTTAAAATTGACATCAATTAGAATAGGTTTTCATAGTTACTAATATATTTATCGATTATTTCAGTAATCCATCATATTCTAAAAGTGAAAACATTATTTAGGTATAACTCATGGTTATTTGAAAATAGATGCATCGTTTAATATTCTAAACTATTACTGTACTCAAAGATGTTCTGTTTTAAAGTATTAATATATCAAACTTAAGAGTTTTTTTTATATTTAGGAATTGACGGTTTTTGAAACAAATGAATCAATTATTACATGGAATGTTATGTTAATATTTCATAAAAATCAGCTATTGCATACCATTAAAAATTTAAGTATATGTCAAAAATTATTTTTATGATTTTAAACGAAGTTATCTTTGAAGTTATAACAGGAATTATTATTAAATCTACTTTTATTTTATATTCATTAATAAATCATATGAGACATTTCAAAAATATTTCTATAAGAACATTTCTTTTTAGTCAATCCAAAGTAAACTAAGATTTTCCATTAATTAATAAATCTGTTATCGACTTAACTTACAGCCAAAACTAGCAAATTAATTTACATAGTTTTTTTTATAAGCCAAATTTGCTGTTTATACTTATGAAATAGTATCAATGAAATTATAGACTTATAAATTTGATTAATGGTAATAAATTTTCTAATAAAAATTATATTTTATCTTTTTAAACATCGTTGCATTTATGATAATATCGAACAAAACTATTTTTATTTTAAAACAGGAAAAAGAAAGTATAATAATTTGTCAATAATTTAATATTTTTTTAATTAAACTAGAAAACTAAAAAAAAATTTTAACATTTTAGTTGTAGAATTTTTACCGATGATTTTTTACAGAAACAAATATAAGTATTTATAGTGTATTTATTTTATATTTTTATCTCGTATTACACAAGTAAAAAAAAACCGATCATTTCGCTTTTTAAAATAATATTACCTTAAATAAACTAAAACTTTTTTAATTTTTTATTATTAGTTCATCTAATATTAGTAATATCACATTATGAACTTATCATAACTTTTCAAATTGAATTAAAGTTTTTAAATGATTTATCAATTAATACAATGAAACTATTTTAAACTTTTAATGTGTACGTTTATATTGTGAGCACTTTACTTAATTGGTTTAATATCTTTCAATTAGCAGTTAATAGTTTTATCATATTTTAATGTATATATAACTTTATTAAAACGTATTAATTATTATATAACTTTTCAGTTATCTTGAACGTGCTTGTCATCAAAATGAAACATTTTAAGGAAATATATTTTATTCGCCAAAAACTAAAATTTATAAATATCTATTTAAAAAGATCTCTTTTATTGACTAAAATATCTGCAAATGTTTACTTTTTTTCCATTTTCACAAAATGTATACACTCAAAAAAAATTATTTTTTTATTTTTTTGCACCGTACATTTTTACTATAAGATTAATGTTTAGATTTCAGTATATTTAAGTACCTTATTTTAAAATTACTTATAAGTTTTATCTTTTGATATTCACTAAAATGTTTAATGTTTTTGATTGAAAATGAATTAGTGTTTCTTTAATTGTTCACAGTAAATTGCTAGGTAAAAGTTGTATTTATTATTTTAAAAACAGGTAAATAGAATTACGTGTTCGTATTTGAATTTTTTTTAAATATTCATGTTTTATCAGGCTTAATTATTTTATAAAATTATCACAAATTCGTGATGGTCAAATTATTTTTCGATAGGAGACAATGAAAAGCCTTTATAATAAAAATTGTCATAGTCGTTGTAATCTCATATATCAGAGTTTTTTTTAGCTTTGATGCGAAGCTGAGAAGGTATTGGTTTTACTAAGATGTGTTTATTTATTTTTTTTTTTTTTTTTGTCTGTTACCACTTTTTCTCAACTCTCACCGAACCAATTTCTTTCAATGATACGTCAAAAGATCACAAATTGTATCTAGTCGAAGACATTACCCTCAAAAATTGAAAAAAATGCCCTCGTTCCCCAGAAATGGGGAAAACCTCCAAAAAAATTACAAATTTAAAAATCGCTAATTTTCGAAATTTTTTCAATTTTTTTTAATTAAAAGTGTCATAACTTTTTCAAAAATGAACATATCAATATAATTCTTTTTTATATAAATGTGTAATATCATTACCTTTCGTTTGGTATATTTTTTTCATAAATTTAACCCTTAACCTGCCCACAAGGGAGGATTTAAAATGACAACTTTTTCACAAAAAATTAATTTTTTTAACTTAAATTTTGAAAATGTTCCGGAAGGTCTGACACTTTTATATATATCTTAAATTAAAGCTAATGTAATATGCTTTATCATGAAAAAAAAAAATTTCGGACTTTATCTTATCTTCATGGTGAAAATGGCTACCGAATGCTATTTTTGTGTGAAAATTTTCGATTTTGTATTTTCCATTTTTAACTTTATTATGCTATAACTTTTTGAAAAATGTATGAATCATTACAATTTTTTTATGAGAAGTAGTATTTATATAGATCTTTCATTCGACATACTGTTTTTTTAAATCGGACCATTTCCCTAAATACAGGGGGGATTCAAAACATAAAAATGCATATAGAAAGTAGAACTTTTTCAACGTAACTTTTGAAAGTGTTCCGGAAGGTCTGACAATTTTTTAAATATCTTAAATTAAAGCTAATGTAATTTACTTTATTATGCGAAAAAAAAATTTCGGACTTTATTTTATCTTCACGGTGAAAATGGCTACCGAATGCTATTATTGTGTGAAAATTCTCGATTTTATTTTTTACATTTTTAACTTTATAATGCTATGACATATTGAAAAGTGTATGGATCAACATTATTTTTTTATGAGAAATAATATTTTTTAATAATCCCTTTTTCATTCTACATACTTTATCTTAATTAGGATATTAATAATGAACTAGCAGATCATGTAGCTTTTGAAATAGTCCACCAATTTTTTAAAATAAAACAGTATCTAAAGATTTGCATCGAAGCGTTTTTTTTTGATAGTGATTTTAATCACTGTCAGATATCATTATACTTGATCCATCTATACCACGTCACCACTGTGCCGCGACCCCCCTGTGCTGGGTTTTTTTTAATATTAACTATATCAGACTATTGAACAAATGGATTTTTTTTTATTAAGTTTCCAAATTATGAAATGTAATATTTATACAATAATGTCAAATAGAGTATATCAATGAGGAGATCTATCACCTTAATCCTCCCCCCATTGACCGCTACTGTTACAGATATTATATCTAATAATCTATTAGACATAATTAATGCTATTAATTATTTTTCTTGGACTATATTCTTCATGCTCAATCCTTTATATTTCAATTATATCGTATTTATATTTATAATGATACATCAAAAGATCACAAAACGTAATTAGTTGGAGCTAACAGTACGGTAATTTTGGAAAAACTTCTCAGTCCTGTTGATAAAAAGGAATGTCTCAAAAAATTAGTTGTTCTAAAACAGTTAATGTTGATATTTTTAGTTTACACTATACACATATGTATACAGAGTGGAACAAATCTAACTGACAACTCATATGATTATTATGATCCACATAACATTTAATAATTTTTTTTTATCAATTTTAACAATATAAGACTATATTAAAAATATGTTTCATGTTATCTTTCGTAATTACAAAAAATATTTTAAAAGTAATTTTTTTTTTTTAATTTGAAAATAGTCGTTTTATAGATAAGTTTTAAAGAAAAATTTCGGTAACAAAAAATATTATTTTAATTTAGTATTTACGTTTATACAGCACTTTGAAATTTTGATTTTTTTACGATTTTCCTATGGTATGAAATTTTAGTCCATGTTATGTATAGGACGGAAGTAAACATTATCTTTTTACAATATTAAATGGTAACGCGATTTATTTTCCATGAATAATAATAACGTTTAAGAGCACTTTTTACAGAAATGATTATCTCTTATTTTTATTACAAAAGATAGAAACATTATCGTATGTTATAACAACAAGTGTTTGATGGTTAGCCAAGTGAAAAGTGATAACAATTATTAATTTGAATGTTTCTATTATTGATATCATATTGTAAGATATTCCCTTTTAAGAGATATGATAATAAGTGTACTTGTACACTAATACTTAATATAACATGTTTTATAATAAACTTGATTTTACTATTACTTGTTTTTTCATGTTAGATGCATTCAAAAGTTATTATTCTCCATGGAAAAAAAATCGTGTACTGTTACCAGTAAATAACGTAAAAGGATAATGTTTACTTGGGATCTTCACATAACATGGACTAATATTTGATACCATAGGAAATTATATTGTAAAAAGGAAAACTATCCGAAATCACTATTTTTAGGAGTTATTATAGAAAAAAATGATAAAATTTCTAGAAAAATGGTTAATTTTGTAATTATTGCATAGTAACGGAACACTGATATCATTTAAAAGTAAAGCTTTTTTGATGTATTACGTTAAAAATTAAAACGTCCTAGTGACTTGTCCTATGTAATTAATCAACGTCTTCAGTAAAAAGCCAAGTAGTTTTTGACAGATATGTTAGTTTTTTTTTTTTTAATATGTCTTATTTAAAACGCATTGAAGCGTTTTACGACGGTGATTTTAATCACTATTAGATATCAATAAATATTTATCTAAAAAATATCTCAGCTACACTTTTCTGGATCTCTACTGTAATTAACTTTTTATGTTTACAATTTCAAAATTTACTAAACATTTTTCTTCTTTTTGGATTTTGTTGACTTCTGTTTTTATTAAATTCGCCTAAAATGTAATTGTGATAAACTTAATACTGCCGTCCAATGGAGTGAGCGTCGTACTTACATACACAACGGTAGCGTTAGTGTTGACCGCACTATGCTCCTGACGAGTGACATCCATTCCAACTATGAATTTATGTGAGAGACTACTACCGGCGGACTCAATGGTTGTCGCGCTTATCCCAATGACGGTCGTGTCTTCTAACGCTCTTCAGCTAATAGTAATGACCGTTATTAATTGTCTGAAGAGGATATTTTTTGTAATATGATTCGAATCGCCACCATCTTCCGCAAACTTAACCATGTGCACAATCAATGGCGACGACGTCGCCGTCTATAAATTGAATTAAAAACAAGTCACCTTTTAAAAAAACTTTAAAAAATCGAATATATCAAAACAAAAGGAGCTAAATAAAAGTGAGTAATATCTTAATGGTACTTGTATATCACGTTATTCAAATCAAAATATAAATTAAAATTTATGATTTTATTGAGTATAATATAATAAATTTAAAAAACAATTTATACCTTTATTTAAACACGGACGTGTTTTTTAAGTATTTCCAAGTTAAATGATTAAATAATAATAAATTATAAAGAATGAGTATAAACACAAAATAAAGAAAAATTAAAAATAATAATACTATGAGTAAATATTTTTATTTTATTGGAGAAATTAAATTACTCCACTTGACTAATAAAATGCCAATAAATGTATTGTAGTGTTACTTTAATTGGCTTGCAAGTTTTCAGTTAAACTCTGGTTTATCCATTTCATATAAAGATAAATGTTTTATTATGCTTTCAAACGACATAAGTTTACATCCTTTTGTTTAGCTAGCTTGAATGCACATTAAACATTAAAAATTTAGTGTGAATAATAATGTTTATTCAAAATAAAATATGTACTTAAAAATACTTTAAATATAGAACCCGAGAAAAAGTAAGTTGGTCAATTTACGCAAAAAGAAATGATACTGTATTTATCATTGATGAATTTTTTGTTAAAGATTTTCTTTCTGTCTACTGTCAAGATATTTACCCCATACTTGTTTATCAGTTTCAACGGCGAGAACTCACGCGATATACGTAGCATTGTTAAAACTGTGGTTTTTAAAAAATTATTCCAAAAATAAATAATTTCTGTTCTCTGAAACTATTGAAATATTATTTACAACAACTAAAAATATTTATAAAGAATTGAATATCATTTAGACTCTATACCAACTTTGATTAATGATTCAAATAAAATTATTTGTCTTATAATTAGTAACATAAAATTACATTGTGAACGTTAACATTTTTTTAAAAAAGCGAATTTAGTTTGAAATATTTTTATCCGTAATAGTATAAGTAAATATTTTGATTTGATTCATCTTAAAATATTGCAACATTTTTCTTGCTTTAAATTATGAAAGTTACTTTTTAACAAACTAAAACTATAAAATTGAATTTATTACAAATATTTCGACTCATATGAAATAATTTTACAATTAAAATGTAAAAAAAAAAATTATTATTTTACATTTTATACATTACATTATAATTTCTAAGAAAAATTTTTATTCGTTAACAAGGTGTTAGATTGTTCCGAGTTGGAAATTAACTTATTTTTAACTACGTGTTATATAAATAATATTATGGACATAATGTTTATGTTGACATCCAATCAATGTTTAATCGATAAAGTTGCATTCATAATCGTAGTAATAAATTCATCACGTCCATAGACAATTGGTAAGGTGTTAACATGATTGCTTTGTTCATTGCCAAAACATAAACAAGTGTGTTAGGAGACATCAAAAGGTATTTGAGGTTTATTAAAGAAGGTCGTCCGGAGACGCAACATTGACGTGATTAGAATTTTATTTTTCTGTCGAAGACTAAAAATATTACTGTTAACAGTTTTATAATGAATTAGTAAAAGCAACATTTTTACTCGTTTGCCCAACCAATAAAATAAAACATTTTTTAGTTCAATTATTTCATACTCAATTTATTTATTATATTTATATTACATCTTACACCTCGAAAATTGTAGTTACTTTAAAATTTGAATTAAGATAATGTGTATATACACGAGAACAGTCATTTTTAATAAATACATAGTAGTACAGTTAATAGACATTCGTTAAAAAAAAAACTTATGTCCACTTTTCTTATTTTTTAGGAGAGACAATAGAACTTTTTTTTTATGATTGACATATGCATGTTAAGTATACTTGAAAATTATATAATACACATAAAAAAACATTTCTTCCAAAAAATAACGAACTTATACATATTAATATATGTATTATAAAATTAATAATATAACAAAAATTTGCTTGGTAAAAAATGCTGTTGGTCCCTTCTAACAAATGATTATTCAGTTTATTTTAAATTTATAGAATTATTTTAAAATGTTAACCTCTAAAACAAGAAAAAATATATTTATTTAGTTATTGATTATTTTGAGTTTATCAATTTAGATTATCAAAAGATTGTCTGTTAAATAAAAAGTCTACAAAAAATAATGTTTACTATTACACGACTGTCGCGTAAACTATCTATGAATCATTAGGTATTTTAAATATTCACTCTTTATACTTTATAAAAGTGTCCATTTTATTGTTTCAAAAGGTAACATACATAATTATCCAGCTTATTAATTGGATAATGATCTCATTAATAAATCGACTTGTCGATACCAATATTTAGACCAATATTTCTAAAATTATTAATAATTTTAAATAGTGAACAGTGGTAAGACATGGGCTATTTTTATCACTAAACAATTCTCAGCCTCCTACTCCTCTTCTCGCGTAGGTATAAAAACGTTAATAACTTTTTAAATATTGGCCCAAAGATTGTTATTGCATGTGACATAGACCAAATAACAAATAAGCAAACTGAAACAAACAAATTGGACGTTTTAACTGTAGACATAAAAACAGTAGAGGATTAGACCGTGCAATTATTCATATGTTTTACATATTATACGTTATAATGGAGTCGAGCCATTCCATTAGACTACTAAATTCTTCTACTTCACATATCGAATTATTTTCAATCATACAAATAGACGTGAAATAGACACAACATGTATACATCAGAGGTGTTGGTGTAGCATATTCTAAAATATACATAGATTTTAAAAAAGTAGCTCATTTTTTGAAAATATATCTTTATATAATAAGGTATTGAAAGTATTATACTAATAAGCTAAAAAGTATTTCATAATGGTAGTGTCCATTTACCGACATACTTTCCAAGTCATTATTTAACTTTGTTTATCAATTTTAGCAGTTGTACATTTTGAAATTTCGTCTTGTAATTTTAAAGGTCAAATCCAATTGAAATCACACTGAGTTGAAGTATATAATTAAATAAAAGCAAATTAAACTAATTTGTAACTATCTGAGTTTAGCGTTTGAATAAAGTTATTTTGTCTGTAGTAAAATAAAATATTTATTTAGAGTAAAATCAACTAGTTTCAATAAGTTACTAAAACTACATGAAATTAAAAAAATATCTGTATTTCAATTATTCTAGTGTATTATATTGATTCGTGTTCAATTAATTATGTTACAAATAAAATCTCTCTGAAGCTTTTTAAAAGAAAAAGAGGAATGAAAATTATTCTATTGAAAGCTTAGATAAAGACGGTATACTTTATGGTGGTCGTAAATTGAATTAAAGGTTAATTGGTTAAAGAATACAATAAACTTACACAGAGTAGTCTCATATTATTAAATTATCCCTTTCATTATAGTCAATGAAAAAATTCAGGGGAGTTTTTTTTTTTATCTAAGTTTATACATTCATTCTCATAAACCAATGAACAATCATGTATACTCAAAGAAGAAACTCATTATAAACAATTTTCACATTACTTTAAATATCACTAAGTTATTTTGTCACTGTTAGGTAGGAAACAGACTTAGTATATAATTCGATAAAAATTTAAAAAAACTACTTAAGCGCTACGCTTTTATAAATCAGTTCATATAATACATTACGAAATATTTAAATAATGTAATTCATTTTTATAAAATGAAAATAGTATTGTAAGTTACGATGAAAAAATAAATTATGGCATAAACGTTTCCACCCACAGTTTTTGTGATTATATCCATTAATTTGAAACCACAATTTTTGCATAATGCAAAGCCGATAACGACATTTATAATAATAAAGCTGAGTGAACTTTTTCCATAATCAGTATTTATTTTTATTTTTAAAATTAATTACTATTTGTATTTTCTCGTATATTATGTGAACGATTTCTAAAATGGAAAATATATTAATTGACAGGGTAATGACTATTTATTTTCTAAGCTTTAGCGTGTTAAGCCTTAACATAAATTCAATTTAAATGTTCACTTACTTGTTGCTTATAGTACATGTTTGTCCGTTGAACGCATTGCGAGTGTCACGTATATTGTAAGTTTTAATGTGCCCTCATTTGATAACAATAAACGAAAATAATAAGTTTTATACTCTGAATAAGAAAAAATAATGTGCATTTTTTTGCGACAATATAACAAAAGAAAGTAAATCGTGATTAAAATTTGAGTAAAATGGCTTTTGTAGGTGAAAATGCGTGCACCGTTTTAATAATTATTACATTAGCAATCACAAGTTTTTCTTTTAAGCCACAATAAAATAAAACTGTGGAATTCACTAAATACGATATGCTTTACGGATATAAATGTTACTCGATCCGAATTTGTATTGCAAACTTTAAGTTCTTTATACTAATGTCGTAACACAGTAAAAAGTCAAAGGGAAAAATGTGTGCAAGTGTGTGTACGAAGATGAATATGAGGAGGTGGTGCCTGCTGTCTAGGTATTCACGTGCGTGTTGTCGTACAGCAGTCACCGTGCTCGGCTGACACTCCGGGTTAGCTGTGGGTGTCGAAAGGCTGTTGTTATAGGAAGGGAGAATAAGAGTAACACCTAGGTATGAGGTGCAGACGAAGTGCAAGACACAAATACTCTGAAATGTCGAGGAAAAGAGTATATAGGTTAGAAAAGGAATAAACAAAGACTTTACTTTAAACAGTAAGCCGGACAGCGACAACCGAGTACTGAGACTGATGAATGACACAAGGCACTGGAGTCGACTGACCACGATGGTCAGGTCTATTGGGTTTTTATAATAATTACACTTATTGCCGATTTGGCAATAAATATTATTTGTTAATTCATCAGTGTCAGGCAGCGGATGTGCTGTCTGTATTTTATTAAAATAATTCTCACGATTATGAAAACGTGACACCATCACACTAATAATACTCTAAACACTTTATTAATTTATTTAAATCTAAAATTTTAAGACTATACTTAATATTTGATTAAAATGTGTAGTACAATACGTACTCATTAAAAATTATATTTGTTATAAAAATGTACCTTTTTGATTACATTAATTTTTAAATTACTATCTAAAAAATGTGGTTGTAATAAATTGTTGTCAGTTGTTTTTCTAACAAAGAAAATATCTAAATGAAATCCATTATTAAGCCACATTTTTTAATATAATATCATTTAAATCTTTGTGTTAGTTAATTATAAATATTTTCATATTATTATAATGGAATATTTTCAAGAGAACAAATATTCTTTATTTTAATATTGAGAAATTAAAATATTAATTAATATAGAATTTTTTTCATTGAAAAAGTCCTCTACTTTTGATTTTTTCATTTTACATTACATATCCATACAATTTTCTTGGAAAATCTTAAATCAGATGTTTTTATTCAAAAGTAAATATATGAACAAATTAAAACTCTTTCAAAATATTGCATCAACTAAAATTTTTATTTTTAAGACATTAATAGGTTTTAAACAATATTGAATTTTTTTATACATTCTTTTTATAATAAATTTATTTTAAGAGTTTATTCAAATCTATACAAAAACTCGTTACCGAGATTAAAAGTGTAATGATGAATATTTTGTAAACCTTTTCAAGGGATAAAAATTAAATTATTAACTGAATGGATATAAATGTACATGAAGATAAATATTAAAGAAAATCGAATGCAATAATTTTGATACTATAAGTGATATTTTTAGGAAATTAACTTTAACTTAACAAATTTTACTTTTAATAAATTAAAAATTAAATTTATTTTTTAGGATTAAATATGTATGGCTTACTACTAGAAAATTTGTCGGAGTATATAAAAAAAATATATGGAGAAGATAGGTGGGAAGAAATCCGGAGAATGGCCAATGTTGAACAACCAAGTTTTAGTGTTCATCAAGTATACTGTGAAACTTTAATACCTAGATTAGCAAAAAAATCACAAGAAGTAAGATAAATTAGTGTGCTAATGGATTTGAAAATTTATATATATATTTTTTTTTTTTTGAGGCTTTAGGTATTACTGAAAAAGAATTTTTTGAACAAATGGGAGTGCATTTTGTGAGTTTTGTTGGTCAGTACGGCTATGATAGAGTGCTATCTGTATTGGGCAGACATATGAGAGATTTTTTAAACGGTAAATATTTTAATTATAATTCAATAGATATTTAATACGCACACTTTCTTTACAACTTAAATAAAGTAAGATGTTATTAACACAGAGTTTACCTACTATTAATAAAAACATATTCAAAAAGTTCTGTTTCTTTAAAACACTAGTATCTTCGGGATTTTGTTATTTTTCTTAATTTCTTAAATTTGGTACAAAATGAACCATCGATATAATAAATATTACAATTATGAATAAATTATTTCATGTACTTATAATTTTGAAAAAAAATTATATTTTCAACACGAATCATTTGGATAGTATGGAGAATTGTTGACTTAAGTACTCCCTCTTAACTTGTTACTGAAATTGAACTTACTAAAATAATGAATATATTGGTTTTTAATTAATTGTTGGGACATTATATTTTTACTTTTAGAGATATTTTTAATGTTAATAGTAAATAATAATCCTATTTGTTGTTCATATAGGTTTGGATAATTTGCACGAATATTTGAAATTTTCATATCCAAGAATGCAAGCACCTTCATTCATCTGTGAAAATGAATCCAGGCAAGGGTTAACATTACATTATAGAAGTAAACGTCGAGGATTTGTTTATTACACAATGGGACAAATCAAAGAAGTGGCTCGACATTTTTATCATAAGGTACCAATTTTTTGATTTTTTATATAAAATATTATATAATGTTGTTAATACATAGGAAATGCGGATTGAATTAGTTCGTGAAGAGATATTAATGGATACGGTGCATGTGACATTTCAATTGAAATTCGACAACAGAGCATTTACTTTAGCATCAATGACAATGACAAGAGAAGAAAAACATTTACCAATAAGTGCATCGGTGCTGTTTGAAATATTTCCATTTTGCATTGTGTTCAGGTTCATGACAAATAACAGACGTAAAATTTATGTTATTTCACTTGTTATAAATAGTTTAAACTAATCACTTGACATTACCTCAATCTAATGTGATAAAAAAGTTAAAAAATTAACATAGTGTCCTTAACAAAAACAACGAAGATTCTCAACGTTTAGATCCACTACTATCATTTTTATTTTAATTAGTATTTGATTACTTCTTTAAATTCATTAAAATTGCATCTTAATTAATTTAAACTATTATTGCGGGACACCTTGTATACATACATATATTTTTAATTACCTTTATTGTTTACTAATTTTTTTCATTTTTAACAGTTCAAACATGATTGTTCAAAGTATTGGTAATTCACTTATGGTTATCCTACCAAATTTAGTTGGGAAACAAATTACAAATTGGTTTGATTTAGTCAGGCCTTTAATAGCATTTAAGTTTCAAACGGTAACTATTTCATACTTAATATAGCGTAATTCATATTGCAGTAGTACATAACTTAGCTTTCGCAGTTTTTCGGGATGATCAAAAATATAATTTAAAAGATTTATATTTTAAAACAGGTGATTATAATATACAATGAAAATTTGAGTCTTAAAATTTTTATATACACATTGTGTCTTATGAGTTTCTAATAAAATACTCGTATACTTGCAAAATAACTATAATATTGAAAAAATTAATTTACTTTTTTTAGTTATGTATATTTCTTGATTTATGAGTTGAAAAAATTATTTAGAATCCCTTTAAACTTATAGGGATATTAACTTAATAAATAATAAAGTCGATAATAACTTTTGATCCAACACATCGGAAGTTATTAAAATTTTTTTACCTGATTAGAAGTAAGAGTACGGCCTGGAAATTATGAGCTATAACAAACACTCCTCGCCACCAGTCATAAATTTAAATTGTTAATAACTTTTGAAATACTAATTCAAAATTTGTTATCGACCCGTTATTGTTTTTAATAAGATCATTATCTACTAAATAAGCTAGTTAATTATGTACGTTACATTTAAAAAAATAAGGTTGTCTCCTATAAGTTATATGGGATAATTCTAAAAAGTAATTATTAGCTGATAAATCAAGAAATATACGTAAATAAAAAAAAGCAAAATTTGTTTTCAATATTGTTTCTTTTTGAGAGAAATCAAGAGATATATGATAAACCGATCATTCTATACAATAGAAAATTTCCAGAAACACCATATCATTGTTGATATACATCTCATTTTAATAAATTCTGGGTACATACTATTGCAGTTAATTAAGCATATAAAAAAGTTTTTAAACAAATAATTATTGAAAATTTATGATGAAAATATAATCATCTTTTACTTGTTTAATTTGTCACATAAGAACAAATTCATTAAAAATTCTCTAAAAAACATTTGACTCGAAAAATAATTCTGTGGCTTCGTAAAACTAATATTATTTTATTTCTATTGCTTCTCAATGTTTTGAATTTTTATGACTTTTTAATATTTTTGCATTTTTATGCCTTCTTTAATTTTTAAACTTTTATGATTTCTTTATGATTTATTTGTTTGCAAAGAGTAAAAATAGTAACCCCCATAAAAAAATTTTAATATAGTTGTAATCGAAAAATTCTAAGTCGAAAAAAATCCCATGTTATTACTCTAAAAAGGGCACAATTTGACTGTGGAGTATAAATTTCGTTACTTCTAAATATTACTCTAAAGCCTTTGTATACTCATACTTATAAAATTGGATAATTGGTTAAATTTTAGTCGAATTACTCAAAATATCAATGTTTATTTGCTCAAATTATCTGAAATTATATAAATAAATTTGAAAGTGACCAATTCTGTATTAATGCCCATTTTGCCATATTTTTTAAATTAAAACAAGTTAAAATTAATATTTTCGTTTTTAGAGTATATTTCAAAACATTCCTGAAAATATTTCAATAAAGAATATTGTGGAACTTTCATATCACTAATCTTTATAATTAAAAATAATCGATGAAATTTGGAATCATTCTAAATTATAAAGATATTTTATTAATGTAGAACAATTAATCAATATTTATAATGAGGATAAATGGATACGTAAAACGTTTTTGTTTATTTTTAAAATTAGCCATTATATAAAAACACTTTAAAATAGTTTATTCAATCATTGGTTATACAGAGTATTCTGTTTGTCATAATTCAATTAATTACTCGTAAAGTAAATATTATATTAAAAAAAAACATTTTTTTTACATATATTTATTGATTTATCAGTTATTTATTACTTCTTATTATCATACATTATACCTTACAAGAGGGTCAACTTTATTTTTTTTAATGGTTACATACATATTTAAATAACTGATTTAATAGAAGATAATAATTTTCTATTTAAGAAAATGACGGGTCGATAACAACTTTAGGACCAGTATATTGGAAGTAATTAGTTAAATTTACGACTGGTGGTGATGAATGGGTGGAGATATTTTTATACATTTATAGTAACCTATAACTTTCTATCTGGCGAATATTTTGCGTTACTTTTTTATTAAAATAATTTTATAGCTTTGGACTACTACAATAAATATATTTTTTATTTTTATCTAATAATGTAAATAGTTGCTCTTTCGACTGTCTCATGGTTTATTATTTTAATTCATCATAACTTCTAAATACTAGTCCAAAAGTTGTTATATTTCCGTCATTTTCTTAATTTACTTATTTATTATTTTTCAATCTACATAATTAAATATGTGTATTTCTATTTAAAGAAATTAAGTTGACATCACAAGGTGTATGGTGTGATAATACTAAAATGTATAAACAAGGAGTATGTATAGTTAAAAGAACAAAATTATTTTTCAAATTTTTATATTTTTTGAGTGGGTATGACAAACTGTATATTATTTTTTGCCAACTGTTATACAATAATTATTTTTTAACTATTTTTTTTATATTATTCGAAAATTTATTTTTGGAAATTTGTTACTTATTTCTTAAAATTTGTAGATTTTAAATCGTACTAACAACATATTTGAGTTAGTTACTGTTCAATCAGTATTAGCTAATCGACCTTCAGAAAGACATGTCATTTTGAGTGATGAATCTTATTTTTCACCAGAAGAAAATAAACTTCGACTTAAAGGTAATTTACAATAAGATAATAAGTAGTAAACGAAGTAATATACATTTACACATTTAAGTTAAGCTACTTTGAATGGTCCCAAGGTGTAACTTTGTTTCAGTGTAGAAATATTATTTATTTTGTGGGGGATTAACTCGCATTACATGGTTATAATACATAACTAAGTTTTCAAGTTAATTAATAAAAATTTGTACTGACTGATGTTGTTTTCGGAATAACTTAACAAATATTATAAATGCATATAATTAAGAGCCCTAATAATAAGAGTTTATTAGGAAAATACTAGTTATTAAAATTATGTTATTTACCTCACCTTAAAGTTAAATATTTATAATAATTACATATTTTTACTAAATACAATATTTTAATTTCTGTTTAGGACAAATGATTTATATGGATAATTGGCAAATGATGATGTACCTTGGTACCCCAGTGATGCCTGATCTCAATGCTTTAGTGACTACTGGTTTATACATTAATGACCTCTCCATGCATGACTTTAGCAGGTTCGATAAGCTAAATCAAGTTTTTACTCTATTACAGTCTTAAAATACATTCAGTGACCAAATGAATAATATTTTTAATTGAATAAGAAAAAACTTATTATGTTATATGTTAGAGATCTGATGTTAGCAGGAACACAACAGTCGGTTGAACTTAAACTCGCTCTCGATCAAGAACAATTAAAATCTAAAAAGCTCGAAGAATCTATGCGTAAGCTAGATGAGGAGATGAAACGAACTGACGAACTATTGTATCAAATGATTCCAAAACAGGTGGCAGATCGATTGCGATCTGGAGAAAATCCTATAGATACATGTCAGGTAAGAAGTTTTTCAAGGAGTATTTCACAATTTCATTTAAATATTGTTTTAGATGTTTGATAGTGTGTCAATACTTTTTTCGGATATTGTGACCTTTACTGAAATTTGCAGTAGGATCACGCCAATGGAAGTTGTATCAATGCTAAATGCAATGTACTCTATATTTGATACACTTACTGAAAGGAATAAAGTATACAAGGTTGAAACTATTGGAGATGCATACATGGTGGTATCGGGTGCGCCTTTAACTGAAGATAATCACGCGGAGAAAGTTTGTGATATGGCTTTAGACATGGTTGATGCTATTACAGACCTCAAAGACCCTTCTACAGGTATTATTTATTGCATAGTCAATATTATATATCTGTCCTAACTACAAAAAAATGAATTAAATAATAATAGTAAATTGCATTGTTTGATTGATGATAATTTATTATGACGAAAATATTTCATAAAATATATAAATCTACAATTTAGCTAATTTTAATTAGCTATTAATGTTATTCAGTTATACTGTATTTTATTAGGGTCTCATTTGCAAATACGCATAGGAGTACATTCTGGCGCTGTAGTAGCTGGTATTGTTGGATTAAAAATGCCCAGATATTGTTTATTTGGGGACTCAGTTAACACTGCATCTCGAATGGAATCTACCAGCGAAGCTATGAAAATACATATATCGCAAACTACTCGTGATTCAATATCATCCTCTTACACAGTTAAAGAACGTGGTGAAATTTATGTTAAAGGAAAAGGTAATACATTTTAAACAATAATATGAATCGTTTGATTAAAAAAAAATTATTATTCTTAATAGGTGCTATGAAAACATATTGGTTAGAGCATAGAGAAAGTAGGCCTCCTTTAAGTCGAGTTTTAACTCCAGGAAATACAAACTTACCAGAATTAGAATGGGAAAAAAGTGCAGATGCAGTCTTTGATATTGTTGAACGTAATAACGACATGAACATTCAAATGGCTGAAGAAAGAACCAGAACTTATTCCCCTGTAACATTTCAAGAAGTTGCTAGGCATTCAATATCTAAATCACCTATTAAAGAATACTATAGAGGTTAGAAAAAAATATTTTTTTATTTATACTACTAATTTACTTTTGTTTTCTTACTTAAAAATATTTATGCCCAGGTTTTAATTATTTTAAATTGAATTAAACCAATTTTATTGAATTGCAAATTGTAGTCTAGAAATCTTTCAATTTTTTTGCTTTAAAGCCATATAGATCAAAGCTGTTATAAGCTATTAAATAAAGTTTTCGGGGGTATTTAAAAAAAAAAAAGTACTAAATCAAATAATCATAGTTTTATATAACCGTGTACAAACATCCATTAGTCAATAATTTTTTTAGTGTGCTTTTAGTTGAAACGCCTATTAATTTTAATTAAAAACATAAACATTGAAAAGGATACATAAAGCCTTTTGTTTGTGTAAACAGAAAACTTATAAATTGCTAATTAATGAAAGTTCATAATCGAAGTTCAGACGATAATGTTTTTTTTCTATTAACTATTTTATGTAACATTTTTTAGAATGTAGGTCAAACTCGATAAGTTGCACTCCAATAGTTTCAAAAAAAGAGTTAGAACGTTTATCGTTGATGAAAAGGAGTTCTTCACCACTTTCGAGATTCCTAAAAAAAATGGAAACTCCAATAATAAATGATTCGAATACAGTAGTGGTTCAAAGATATAGATACACACGAAATAGAGGCGAAAGTGGAGAATCTCAAACAGCACCTTCATCACCTGAATCACGTAAAGAAGAACATATTATTTGCAACAAGGAATCACTAATTAATAAACTAGATCATCCAGCTTTAATAACAGCTCCCAGAGTTAATCCTATATTGGTGCATGTAGCCGATTATGTATCATCTGATTGTTGCGTTGACAGTTTTGATTCAGATGACCAAAATTTAGTTGAACTTAACCATTATGACACTGAGGAAACTTTAACATTACCGACAATTTTATCTCCTACATCACAAGACGAACAACAACTAGTTCTAGTAGAAGAAGTACCATCTCCAGCAATAGTTGTTGTAGTAAGAGAAAATGCTGCGGGAACACGAATGGCACCGTCTTTTTCAGATGGCCAAATTTGCGAAAAACGTGACATGGAAACAGCTACAAGTACAACAAGCCTTGACAGACAAACGCAGTGCTGCATAACTTTCAAAGGGCGTCCGAAATCATCCAAAAAACGATCGTTATCACACTCTTGCCGTTTAGTGTAAAGTATTTAAACTGATTTTTGTGTTTTAGTCTATATAAATATATAATATTTAATAATATAAGAATCTTTATGTTATTAAGAGAATGTTGTAATATACTCCTAGTCAAAAATAAAACATGATATACAATGCTTTTTTTTAACTAAAATTTTTAGAATATTGATTTTGAAAAATAATTTTAGTAAGCAATACTTTGTGTTTTTCCTTTTACTCATTAAACTTTAATTTAGTAACAAGTAAAATCGAAATACATTTTACAGATCTACATTGTAAGCTTGCATTCTCTAAAATATACGACTTATATTTTGAATGTTTCAAACTTGATATGAATGTTTCCAGGAATAAAAAATACACATTTAGTAAAATAAATTAGTTTGTAGATTATTGTTACAAATGATTTAAAAAGTAAATAAAACTCATAGTTGTAAATAATTGGGTAGAATCAAGACGTCAAATATTGAAATTCGAATATTTTTTTTTTTTCAAACAATCAAATTCACGTTATTTACATATATGATAATGTAGTAATGTAGTATGTAGTAACGTAGAAGTATGTGTTATACATTACACTTTTACAAGTTTTAAAATTAAAAATGTTATGTAAATATAATACTTGTTTTTCATACTTAATTTGGCTTCTAATTTGTAAGCTTCAGTTATGAAATTTGTATAAAAGGAATAATAAAAATATATCATATAACTAATTCAAATTTTTATTTCAATAATAATTAATATCGCATTTATTACTTTACACTAAATCATGAATAGTCATAAAGTATACAAATTTACTTGTATATTATTACATATATATATATATATTTGTATTATTATAATATATGTACAAAAAGTCAGTATGAAAAAAGTCAATGTACTATGTACATCCACAAGTCGACACTATAGGCTAAGGCTAAGTTATATTTTTTATACGAATTTGAAGATTTAACATTATTCTAAGTATCAGTTCAGTAACAATTAAATTAAATATACGTTATCTCACTACATGACGTACATCACATGATTTTTAGGGTTCTATACATAGTTTCGAGTACTAAAATTATTAAAATTTATATTAACTGTATGCAAATAATTAAAAATTACTAAAAATGAACCAAACATAAAAAACGTCATTTACGTATTTGTCACAAATAATAATTATTATAGAAACAAAGAATTCGTTGTCACTACCTATAATACACTAAATCAATAGGCGCAACAGTTTTTCTTTGTATAAAATTAACATTATGTGATAAATTACTTAACATAGCCTTAAGACTGTAGCAGACATGTTCTTTATTATATGGTAACGTTATAATTATTATTTTAGGCGTATAATAAATATCATAGTAAAGTAGTAATAATAATAATATCATAAAAATAATAATAAAACAAAAAATAAAATAAATAAACAATTGCACAAAAAATAACAATATGTATAGTATTATGTACATATGTAAAATATATTTACAACATTTTTTTTAAAATAAAAAAGCAAGTCCAAGAACTATTGTTATCCTTTTTCCCAATCATTAATTGATTGTTTTATTTTTAGAAATTTCCATAAATAAAGAATAAACATAGTATTTTCATTTTAATATGTTGATATTACAATAGTTTTTAGAGACTTTTTTAAAGATCCAGTACGTTTCCCTGAGTGTACCAATATAAAAATATATATGATTGATTTCTCGAAAATTGAACCAAATAACTCCTAATGTTTATTTTAAAATTTGATTAAATGACTAGATATCTTATAAAACATTTTTCAATTATTTTGAATAAATTACTACCCAAAAAGAATTGAATAATTTTCAGTAAAGTTTGTGTGTATTTTGGACGGATATTGAGCAATTAAAAAAAATCTATTACTTATCAACAGAAAAGAAAGTTCAGAGAAAAAAATCACTAAAAATAAGAGTGAATTATCACGTTTTCGTCCTTAATTAAATGTAGCATATAGAAACTTAATAAGTATACATTTTCATGATTATGTAATTATCACGGGTTGCTTATTATTCTTTTTCGTCCTTATTCTTTCGATAGTGAGTGCGGTGGTTTCTTTTTCGACGGTTTGGAGTTTTATGAAACCGAACATTACCAGGATCATCGGCTAATTGTGGTCGACGTCCTGTAACATCGTGTATGTCTTGCCCCTCATATCCATCCACGCGACCACGATTTATTAGCTCTTCTTTTTCTTCAGTATTCCATTCTGCTCTAGCTCCTTTTGATCCAGCAGCTACTAAAGCTCTTTCTGACTCCCATGCTCGTTCTACTGCTCTTTTATGTGCGTGTTTCAATAACCGATGTCGTTCTTGTTGATGATCAGTACCATATCGGATTGATATGAGTGCCTCAGCACTTAAAAGCCTCAATTCTTTTCCGTCAGCTGTCTCATGAGTAGAAACATTAAACATTCCACCTAACCGTTTCAACTCTTCCATATCATCATTTTGTTTAAGTGCATTATCCTATTAAAATAATTTTAAAAATTTAGTATACAAAATAGAAAAAATAGTCATCAATAATACTAAATTATGTAATTTTACCTTAACAAAATAGAAAAGATCTTTATCGTGTTGTTCAAAATGTAAATCCAAGAAAAATGAGCCATTGAAAACCGATGTCACAACATCTTGTACAACACTATTATCACTATCTACGACAGATACGATAGCCAAACCTTCATTATTTCGTGATATAAGTACACCTTCACCGAATATTGATCTTTGGTAAGCAACTCTAGGAAGTAAATTTCTTGTTTGAGTCTCCATTTTCAATAAGGGTTCAGGTATAAATCCAAATTCACTAAATAATGACATTTCCTAAAATAAAATATCAAATTAATTAATATATATGTATAATTTAACACATGAATATTTAAATATATTTAAGTAGAATGTATTTTTGATTGATAAATACCTTTTCAACGATACATTGAAGTCCGGACACCACATTAAATCCTGGTGCTAGTTGAAGAGAAGAAACTTTGCCATTTGGCTGGTGTAATTGCCGTCTAGTATATGATGAACCAATCATTTTTTCGATATCATAACCATAAAGTTTTAGCCAACTATTTAAATCTATTTATAACATAAATATGTTTAGTTATATAATAAGTAGACAATTTATTTATTTATAGAACAAAAATAATTAGAAAACTATCATACCAGTCATATAGTTGATGTTTTGGTCATTACTGAAACTGATTGGATCATTGTTCTTAAATCTATAAATGAATATATCTGTTGGATAGCTAAGTTTAGAAGACAGCTGCTCCCAATCAGGCGTAATCCATTGTCCAACAGATGGGTCATACCATTTATGATCTAAATAAATGAGACGTGTATGTGGATCTAATATTCCACCATGGAAATCAACAGGAACGTAAAAGTCAGGATGACTATCTTTTCTAAGCTGCCCAAATGGAGTTCTTTGAATTTCTTTTACTAAATTTCCAGAGACATCAAATATTGCCACTGGAGATCCAGTTTGATCAGTAGCAACAAAATATCTTTGTTCTGGTGAGTCAATAGCAATTAAAATATCATGATCATCGTACAGGAAATGTAAAGTTCGACCTGAACCCGGGTAGTGTACGGCTGTTATTAAATTCGATCTTTGTGGATCGGTATAAAGGAATTGTGTCACATTTTCGCCTGCATTATGAATACCTAATAACCTCTTCTTATGATCATAATAATATGAAACACTAAAGCGATCACTTTCCGTAGCATCACTTAGTAATCCCATATCATTGTAGTTTAAATGAGTTTCTCCTCTCTTGGACACAAACCCTCGAGCATCATAACTGTACAATTGAACATCAGCAACCTAATTCAAATATATTACAATTAAGGTTAACATTTTTTTTTTATTACTAATATAACAATTCTATTAACTATAATTAGGATAATAATAAATCTATTTCTTACCTGTACTACCCTGTCTCCAACGTCATATCCTAAAGTTAATTTTTGTCCATGATCCATTACACCAATAATGTTACCATTTTCATCGTAAATATACTTCCAATCACTACTTCCAGCTACTTCGAATAAATGTCCATCAGCACTATATGTCATGCTATTTTGAATTTTTAAACGGCCCAAAATAATCTTTTGAGAAGAAATTCTATTTCTCACATCATATTCTAATTCCATTCTGTATACATCATTGGCTTTAATGTTAATAACAACAGACTTTAGTCTTCCATGGTTATCATACTCCGAAATAGAAAAATATTGCTTAGCCGTATCATGAATAACTGATTTATTAAAAGTATTTTTGTATATTCTTAAGTCACTTATACTTTCTAAAGTACCCATATTTTGATTATACTTCAATTTAAGCTGAGATAGCTCTTTGTTTCCAATAGTCACGTCAACAGCCGTAACTCTAGCATTACCATCGACTTGATATTTTAGGTGGGTATTGTGAAGTCCACATTTAGCACTGTATAAGTAACGTTCATCTTTTATTATACCCAGATGGTATCGGATTTCGTGTTTCAATTCAAAGCCTGGTTCTACTACATTAATGTTTTTCACTAAATTAGTATTAGTCTGGTATGCATAATGTATTGAAATCAAACCTAGTAAAATCAAAAATAAAATATTATTTCAGTGATTATCAATTTATGAGAAAGCAACTATTAATTATATTTAATTAACATTAAATATGAAATATATATGTGTATATATATTAAATTTACAAACCAGCTATAATAATTTCGATATTTCCATGTTGATCATACAAATAGGATACACGGCCTGATTGGTGTGGATAGATTTTAGCTAGGATATTTCCATTGTCATCATATCGTAATTCATAAGGATGTGGACTGATTGGTGAATGATATTGATATTTGTAGAATCCAAGAGATGTTTGAATCGAAAACGCATGAATGTGTCCTCTGGGGGTTGTTAGTGATTGTAATGCACCAGATTCGTCGTACTGAAGTAAGTAATCACTTCCCCTGGGCGTGGTCACTTTCAATGGCTATAAAATAAAATAGCTTAACACTCTCATATAAAAATTCACGTAATTTTATAAATTTACCAAGCTGCTGAACATGTCTTTAAAAACATACAAAGTAGACTTGCCATCGGCATAACGTATTTCAGCTAATCTTCCAGCTCTGTCATAACCATATATTTCTTTTAAATCACCCCACCGCCATACGCTAAGTCTACTGAATCGATCATAAGTGAGTTCAACTTCAGAGTACACCTTACTCCTATCAAAATATTAAATTTTAAGGTTATATAATAATTGTTGTTAAAAAATATTACCTTGGTCCCCATTTGACAGGTCGTCCAGTGACATCATACGTAATATTTAAAAGTTCAATATGATCTTCCATAAATGCACCCACTGTACTACTTTCTCTATCAAATTCTAAAGAAACTATATTTTCTCCATTAATGCGCAATTTTTTTCCAACTTGTGCAACAGATTTGGCTAGAATAATATATTAAAAATAATTATCAAATTTTATGTAATGAGAGGTAAAATATTAAATTACCTTCACCGGGCTTAAGTTTTCCGCCAGATTTCCCTCTTAAGTAATATCTCCATTCAAATCTATTTGCTAGATCAGATCCAATTTCAGTTTTCAGTTTTCCAGGCACTGGATAACTCTCAGCCAATACTGAATCAGCTTCCATTAAAACTGCATAAGGTACCGATTCAATTGTCACTCTATTACCCCATGATGTTTCTGATATAATGTCTCCTTCGCTGGTGATAGATGTATGTTTCTCCGAACCGCCTAATTTTGTTTCTACAGAAGTTCCTTTAATTAACATTGTTGATGGCTGATTATCATCATTGGAAATTTTCACAGAAGCGCCTTTTACACTAAGATCAAATGCTAAACGAATTAGTTTTCCTGTTGGTGTAACTGCTCCAATTAATCGCCCAAAGTCATCATAAGTATACACATAACCTCTACCAGCTGAATCCAATTTTGATCTCAGTAAACCCGATGGGCCATAATAATCAAATGTTATGTTGAAATTGTCTGGTGTATTTACTTCACTCAAGAGCTTCATACGAGACATTCTTAAACGACACTTTTGACCTTTAGTATTTTCAATAGAGTTGACTTGTTGTGCGTGATCTCTTAATAAAAATACTTTGTTTCCAGCTGCATCAGTTACTGAACTAAGTTTTCCACTACTAGTAAATTGATTATACGTAAATTGGTAACTAGTTTCGCCAGTGAGAATATTTCGTGTTGCTATATGTTGACCAAAACGGTTAAATACATATAGCTCTTGAGTAGTTGGTGAATATACTTCGTATTCTCGAGTTGGTGTTGCTTCAGGAGATCGTGACATGATAGATCTTATTCTAAATTTGTAAAAGAAATTAGCTTATGCTGCAATGTTTAAATAAATAAATTTACCTATAATTAGCTTGATCAGCCACATGTACAACTCCATCAGGTGACACAGTAATCGAAGAAATCGTATTGAATTTTGCAGTTGCAGCTAGAAAATGATCTTCTTCAAAACAATCACATCCACGGTCCAAACAGTTACATTTAGATTCGGCACCAGCAAAACGAGCAATTTTTCCTTCAGTGCCTATCATTATAAAAATTTAATTAACCAATATTTATAATTTTTCAAGTTTAAAGCTACATTTATTTTAAGTGTTATTTACATAATGACTGAAATTTTATAAAAAAAAAAAATTTTAGTCATATATTTTTATTTTTAGTCAATTTAAAATTTTATAAAATTAATTTTTTCTGGACAAATAATCTTGAATTTTCATTCTATACTATATAAATTATATATTTCGGAATTTATTTGATAAAATTTAATTTTTTTATAATTATAAACTAAAATTTTTAATAAATTTTAAATCTAATAAAATATTTGTAAACATATATATTTAATTTTTAAAAAAACTTACTGATAACTCGAATCCTATTAGTTCTTTGAGAGTCTGACTCTGCAACGAACAAATTACCATTTGGAGCGAATGCTATACTTTGTGGCATTACTAATGCTGTTTGTATAGCTAATTCTTGATCGGTATTTATCCCAGTTCGCCCGATCGGTGGACAATGAATGGGTCTACCAGCGATAACTTTTAATCGATTATCAGTAGTCAATTTCATTACCATATGATCATCGATTATATGTAGAGTATTATCTAAAGGATTAATACTCAAGTCCGTTGGCCATCTTAAATGTACTTCACCGGTGTTTAAAGTTCCTTCACATGGTATAGGCTTCCAATGAGATTTATGCATATGATTGCCAATTATAGTGGATACCAAGCCATCTTTATCAACCATTCGTATATTGGTGCCATCAGCAAAATATAGAATATTATCAGAAGATATTGCAACACCTAAAATTGAAAAATAATATTTATTTATAAAATTTATTTAATTAAAACTATTTAATAAGTACCTTTTGGATAAGCTAGTTTAGCATCTCTTGCCAGAGCACCATCACCACAATGCGCTTCATCACCGGGAAGACATCTTTCACCAGACCCAACTGCTGGTTCCCAGTTATTATCAGGATTAGAAAAGTTATTTGGATTTTTAACCTTCAGAATTTGATGACTTTCTGGGTCAGAAATATACAAAGATCCATCTAATGGACTAACAGCTATATGATAGCGGTAAGATACTCTAGTGACACTAAAAAACACAACAAATTAATTAAAAACTGTTTTTTTTTAAATATATTTTTGTTAAACTTTACTTTAATCGGACTACAGTCTTAACAGTTCCATCTGTCATGATTCTTCGTATTAAGTTAAAATCACCAACATAAATAGAGCCATCAGGAGCTGCTGCAACAGCTACTGGCGCTAATAAACGTTGTTTGAGTCCACTATCACCGTCACAATCTGTACATTCGAGAGGTCTTTGATGCCCATCACCCATAGATGTCATAATAATTCTTGGTTTTTGTTTGAGATAAATGTTTGATCCATCGCCTTTTTGTAATATTCCTTCATGGAAGTTATAACGATGATGTATATCCAAGTTCCAAGAGCCAACTTCTGATATACTCATATCATTTCCACTAAGCTTAGTAGTTTGTACGTCCCACACAATGTTTTTACAATCCGTATATTCATAACCAACTTTTACTGAAGCCGTTGTCACTCCATAGACATTTTGTCTGTACACATTTAATCTATTCCAAGCATATGTATATTTAATCACTGGATCTGCTTCAAATGTTTTTTCAAATAATATTCCTTCAATAGTTATTCTCAAATGAATAAGTTTTAAAGTGTGTGGAATAATTTCTGGCGTTAATTGTAGCTGAATAGTAGACAAATAACCTGCTGATCGAGAACTATGATAAACTAGATTCAATCCTGTCCCGGGAATCTGGAAACTTTCTTGTACTACCTATAGTTTTAAAAAATTAATAATAATTAAAATTGATAATTCTTAAGTATATATGTACATGTTTTTAAAATTTATGCACACGCACCTGAGACTCTGCTAATACGGCACTTTTATCTGACCAAGACCCTTGAAATCCATGTTTCCACGATGCTAGTACTACAGGTTTCATTTGATCGTAGTCATGTGCTTTACATGGTTGTCCACCAGATTGGATTCCCTTATCATCACTTAAAGTCATTGTAATTGTCTCAATGATGACAATCTAAAAGTATAAAAAGTTACGTAATTAATCTAAAATTCTATTGAAGTAACTCATTTAAATAGAAAAAAAAATGTTAGTAATGCATACTTCATTCCAAGGAACATTGACAATTTGACTTTGTGCTTTAAAGGGACTTCTTCCAAACTGTAAAGTTACAGCTCCACCTCCATTTACTAATAAATCAAACCACCCATCTTCTCGAGTGAGTGTGAAGCCTTCAGGTGCAATATTTGTGCTTACTCGTACACCCATTAGTCCCATTCCAGTAGAAGTAACAACTCGTCCACGGATAACTGCAGATCGGCTATATAAAAAAAAATTATTTAATCATAAAAATTCATGATTTTACGAAAAAAAATTCAATCTAATTTACTGCTTTGGACGTGCTATGCGTAAAAAATAATATAAACGTAAAAATTAATAAAATCTAATCAATTAGTGGGACAAACTAAAATAATAACAGTACCAGCAAAAAGTGAGTTAAATTAAATTTTTTTTGTAAAAGTGTTTTGAATTTAAAATATTTTTTAATAGACTATGTTTAATTTAGTTTTAATTCAAAGCTTAGATGGTATTTTATTTTATTTCTACTATAATATTATTCCCGCCAAAATGTATAAATTATTTTTACATCGTTTTAAATATCTGAAATCATATATAAAGACTTAATTGATGCTTCAAACAATTTATCAAGTAATGTGTTATTGTACACATTTTATATACTTAAATTATATAACTAATACAGCTAATGAAAGAATAAAGCATTTGACGAGTACACAATACACATGTTTAAGGATTGAAGCACATAGGTCATGCATGCATAAGCGATTTTCACCTAATTTTATAGCAATTGAGTATGCAGTTTTTTTTATTGAAAACCAGCATACAACGTGCTAATAATATAATAATTATATTTTTTATTTGCATTAAAATAATGTAATAACCCGAAATTATTTAATTTTTAAAAACAACTGCTATGTATTACTAAGCGAAGTATTTAGGATAAAATGTAAGAGCTGAATAACATAAAACACCCGAAAGTAAACAAAAGAAATTTGTTTTCCTTCAAAATAATACAAAACAAAAACATTCTGGACAAACAATGGCCATTTCTTACCTCGTATTGAAGTGGCTCCAGAAAACGCTGGAAACAACATAATATTCGAAAGAAAGCGTTAGGCTCGGTTTTTTAAAGTAAATAAAAATAATTTTATTTTTGTTAATATTGTTTTATTTAATGCAAAAGTTAACATCATATTTAATTTTTATTAGATACTATACAATAAGCATAGGTACACATAAAGCTGCTTGGAAGGCATTATTAAAAATAACAAGTGCTTTTACAACGTTTCACAACATTTTTAATACTATAAAAAAAAGTATAATTCTATTGATTTAATTTTTAAATTACTATTTTACTATTAAATTAAATAATTTGAATGCATTTTCAACGATTTTCTAAATAGAAAAATAATTTAAATATTTTATCATAAAGTTTACATTTTGCTCACAAAATCATAATAATATTACGAACCATAATTTTTAAAAATGCTGTAAAACTTTGTTTGAGACATTTGATACATAAATTGGAACGTAAAGGAGAGGAAAATTTTTCACATGGGCACAACGCAGTATTAGTAGAAAGATTCAAGACAGAAACATTGAAGGTAACACCATACACATTAACACATTCATCACTTAATAAAATATTTTTTTCAAAACTATTATACAACTTTGTATTTTTGAAGGTGTACCTATATTTTAGTATTTCTATTTTATGGTAGTATACATACAGAAGAAGTCAATATTTTTTGACAAATAATACTCTTAAATAATTACATTTTTTTTTTTATTAAAATTTAAACAAAATAAGAAATGTTTAAACTATACTTAGTAAATTTATAATTATTGAGAATCATAAAGAAAATTTGTAGAGTATCAAAGTTATTTTTACTATCAAAATATTCTGACTCATTCTGTACAAAAAAATTATTTAAGGTTTTTCTCTAAATATTATATAACTATTCATTAATATTAATATAAATATTAACGAATATTTTATACCAATGCCTATTATTATACCATATTTAAATAATAATGTCTAATATTCTGATTGATACACATTTATATAGTGATTTTTTTTTTTTTTTTAATAAATTAACTTAAGTTATTACCTTTCGTTGAAATTGTCTGATCGAGCATAGTTTTGAAGACTACCTTCCTCGATAAGGAATTTAGTACGTTCAAAGAACGACGCTGTTATGGCTGGTGGTTGTTTGCGTAAAAGTATATCGATAGGTTTCGGAGAAGAAACGCAATGCTGACTGCTGCGACACATATGATTTAAACAACATTCAGGATCCTCACAATCCATAAGACCATCTAATAACAAGTTTAAAATTACATTGTTGAACATCTTTTTAAATAGATATTCTTAATTACTTAGGGTAATTATTTTACTAACCTTTGTCATTATCAATATTATCATTACAATCACGTTCCAACTGAGTATTACAGTCTAATCCATCCCACCCATCCATGCACTTACATTGCCATACATTATCACCGTTAACTCGACATTGACCATGTCCAGAACATCCATTTGGACATCCTTCCAATGTACAATGTTTTCCATTCCAGCCAGTTACACATAAACATGTACCATTTTTACATTGACCATGTTCATTACAACGACTATCGCATAATTTCATGTTGCAGTACTGTCCAGACCAACCAACATCGCAAGCGCAAGTTTCACCAACACAATGGCCATGAACTCCACAATCCAAATCACAAATTTCTACATAAATTGCAAAATGTTAACTTTTGATGCATTATTAAATAAAATTTTAAATAGCTTACCTTTAGAGCAATCATCGCCTGACCATAAAGGTTCACACTGACATGCTTGTGATTCCAAGTTAAAAGTACCATGACCAGAACAATCAGGTAAACATTGGATTGCATCTTTATCCATTTCATCGCAGTTTACACCTTTCCAGCCTTTTTTACAGATGCAGGTTCCCTCTACACAAACACCATGTCCGCTGCAGTTGGGATTCGGACAATCAACTAGAAATTTATAAAATTATAATAAATTAAAAACTAAAAACACCAAAACACTTACTTTCTGAACAAAATTTTCCTTTAAAGCCTAGAGCACACATGCATTTCCCATTTGTGCAATAACCATGACCATTGCAATCAGGCATTTCACATTCATCATGCCTCATGTTACATTCTTTTCCTTTCCAACCTGGATTACACTGACATTCTCCATTTATGTATTCACCTCTTTGACTACACAATACTGGACATACACCTATACATGCGAAAATTGAATGTTTTATAGTGTTCTTATTTATAAAATCATTATAATAGGGTAGATTGCTATTTATTTCTCATGTAAGTGAATATGAATAATCAATTAAATTTAATCGATATTTTTTGTACTATAAAAACATATACTTGACCCCATTTTACTCGTTTTATTATAAGAAATCAGATACACGCTTTTTAGTTGAGTTAGTGATTTTCAATAAAAATTCCTCCAACAATATTTTATGTAAGAGTATATTCGATAATTGTAATAAGTGTTACTATTAAAACTTACTGTCACTACAGTCATCTCCACCAAACCCAGGATTACATTGACAATGACCAAGTAAGCATTCGCCTTTTCCACTACACCCATTTGGGCAACTCAAAGTCATATCTTGCGATACAACAGCTGAGAAAGTGACCATAGTTAGATCACCATCATCATTGTACATTGACAAAAACCAATGACCAGGCTCCAGATAATGAGTCACTTCTTTTTTTATGCTTGGCTAGATAACAAGAATAAATATTTTAACCAAGTATTTATATTTATACCAACCAATATATTTTAAATTTATTATTAATTTATGTAAGAAATTAAAAATAAGTAGGTATATGAGTATTCTATGTATTTTATTTTATTTTTAAATTGATATACATTTATTAAAATTTATTTAATACAAACGATTAATTTTTTTGTTAGATATGTAATTATAAGATTAAAAGATTTCGTGAATATTTTTGACTTAATATATAATTATGTTAGTATAATAATTTTATAAATATTAAGAGAATTTACTTACATGTGTGGATCTAGCTTGACGAGATTTAAATCCATTGAGAACTTCTAAAATTTCATATTGTGTATGAGTAGGCAACGCATTTCGACGTCCATATACTGCAATACTAGCACCCCTAGGGAAATTGTATTCAAATCTAACATATGCAGCTCGTGGATGATAAAATTGCACATTCCAGTAGCCGTAGGGTGATATTTCACCTTCAGATTTTTCTCCTAAAGCAATCTGAGCAAATGTAGTACCATCTGGTGGAGAAGTCCTAACGGGGAATAATTTTGACCCTGTTTCGCCAAATATTTTCATTAGTTATATTTTTTAATATCGAACAACGTAATGAAACTGTAACACTCAAACTTACATCATTTTAATTTTATAAGACATGTTTTTTTTTAACTCGAGTGTTATAGCTTGAATTTTAATTATAATGATCACATTTATTTGATTCATCTAGTTACAAAAGTACGTATGTACAAAAAAAATATTTTTTTCGTATTTTGCTTATTCTTGACGAATAGTTTAGAAATAGAGATAAGAAAAATAAAAATAAAGAAAACAAATATTTTTAATTATTTTTTCTTTTGAAACTAGACAATTCATTTAATTTAGAAAAAAATTGTCAACATATTACTTATTACCACACTATAACCATAAATTTTAGAATAAAAAAATATAATATATATATATATTATTATTATTTTAATAATCTTATGTTTTTAGTGTATATCTTTTGGTATTTTATAAAATATAATTCATGCAAAATTAAGCTTTATTGTATCTAAATTATTAATACTTAATTACTGTTTAAACAACTTGAAGCAACTACATAATTTAAATTTTCTAGTAACATAAATAAATATTAAAACAGTAAAATAATAAGAATTTAAAATATTCCATTCAAGCATAATATTAAGTGAGATATTTACTACCAACAAACATAAATAAAAAATCAAACACCTTTTAGCAAAATAACTACAATTTAAACATTGCTTTGCAATAGGTTGGAGTAACTTTGTAGAGTATTTTTCTTTGACGTCACTGTAGTTAATTAGATGAATAGAAAATATCGATTGTAACCTTACCTGGATCGCAAAAAAGCAAAATTGGAGGAGAACAAGACACAGTATCATCAGTTTTTTCTGTAGATATTGATGCTTCTGTAGTTGACCATGTAGTCCAAGATAAGGTATCGTTAATCCAAATAGTATCACTGAACAAAGACGGAGAGGAAGAAGTAGCTATTGTGACACTACTATATCCGTCGTCTTCCTTATCCATACAAGGACAAACACACTCACATTCAGAACCAGTTGCTTTATTCAATGGCTGAGGTAGTAGAGTATTAGTTTCAGATAGCGCTTTATTAGCTGATAAGTATTCATTTTGATCAAGCTCATGATTACCTCCTGGTAATGATAAAGACACCGAGTATACAGGGCTCCTGGATGGATCATCAGAAGCAATTGTTAAGTTAACTCGAATTCGATGTTCAAGATCTAGTGGTACAATATCTACAATAGATTGCTCTGAATCTTCTAAATTTTGTACATCAGGTTCCTTTCGATAAACTATGACGTCGGCAATTTGTCTTTTTCGATGTCGAGGCAGTAAAGGACGTCGTTGGTTTCTATTAATTCTTCTACCTTTAGCAGCGAGAACGTCATACATTTGTTTAGGGAGAGCATTATTAGGCCGTGCACCAAGCATATGGTCATAATTATTATCTACTACTGCTAAGCCATCACCAATAAAATCACTACTAACAGCACTGTTATTCTCGTTAGAACCACCATCATCATTATTATCATGCAAACTGCGTTTATTACGAGAATGATATAATTGATTAGATCGCCACCTACCTGTATTATCAGTCGATTTGCTATTGTTCAATTGTTTCGGTACAGTTATAGAATCACTTCCATTTTCATCGACAAATACAGAACAAGATGTTGAACCCTGGTATGACAGTCGTAACATATTTGATGCTGGAATATTATTAGACAATATAAATATTTTAACTTAAATTTATCACATTATTTTCAAATTACAGTTTTATTTTCGTTTTATAAGTTGGTGTGTCAAAAGTCAACTAAGCATAAACTTACTTGTTATATAAGTTAGAGCCACTGCCATTAGTAGGCAAACTATAATTAAAACAATGGACGTACACTTCCACGAACACCGTGATGCAAATCCTTTTTGGAATTGAAATCGGGATGCAGATGAAAAATGATGTGATGATGTCGGTCGCCTAAGATTATTCCTAACCGGAAGTACTGGCATTCCTATACCATATCCTAAGGAGCACCTAAAATAAAAAATATATATATTTACCTATTTATTAAATTGTATAACTTTAAAATATTTAGTAAACAATAGTACAATAATATTAGTAAAAATAGTATTTATATTTCGATTTATGTCTTTAAATATTTTTTAAGTTTATCCCTTATCCTTTATAAGGTTGTAAACTTAATATTTTTAATATGTCGCATATATTAAACTGACTCGTATAATAAGAAATGATCCAAATTAAAAAATACCTGGTCGATTACAACTTTTGAATCAATATTTTGGAGGTTATTAAAACTTTAATAAATTGAGAGAGGGTGACGTGCAGGTTAGGTTGTTTTTATCATTAACTATTTCTCTGCTGCGCTATTCTTCCCACACAATTATAAAAGTTGTCATTACTCTTAAATTAGTGATTAAAAAGTTGTTTAGACTAACAATTTTCTTCATTATACTACTTTTTAAATTTAACATAGTTAAATGTGTATATTTCCACTTAAAAAAACCCAGCACAGGGGGGTCGCGGCACAGTGGTGACGTGGTATAGATGGATCAAGTATAATGATATCTGACAGTGATTAAAATCACTATCAAAAAAAAACGCTTCGATGCAAATCTTTAGATAGTGTTTAATTTTAAAAAATTGGTGGACTATTCCAAAAGCTACATTATCTGCTAGTTCATTATTAATATCCTAATTAAGATAAAGTATGTAGAATGAAAAAGGGATTATTAAAAAATATTATTTCTCATAAAAAAATAATGTTGATCCATACACTTTTCAATATGTCATAGCATTATAAAGTTAAAAATTTAAAAAATAAAATCGAGAATTTTCACACAATAATAGCATTCGGTAGCCATTTTCACCGTGAAGATAAAATAAAGTTCGAAATTTTTTTTTCGCATAATAAAGTAAATTACATTA